CCCTTTGTTCTGAACCACAAACTTCTCCTCTGGATTTTCCCTTCAATATCCCATGTAATACTGCTAGTCTCGGATATCTTCTGTGGATTTCTCTCATGCAATTGCAGTGCTGAACGATGCTGTTTGGATGGTTGCGTCCGAAAACTTGAAATCGTGGGCCGACGCCGAACCTTAGTGTGTTTTCATACATCTCAACTACTGCCAACTCTGCACATGAAGCCCACCTTGATTTCGTTATAATGGGCCAGATCCTCTACGGCTCTTGTCAACAACTCCACTAAGCAACCGGCCCGCGAGTTCGCATTTCCTCATGAAGGACTTCATTCTTACAAGCTGGGACGATAAGGTGCCAGCGCTCACTTAGCGTAGGTGTGTCCATTATGGTTCCCTCGATGCCGAAAGATATCCAGCTGATCATTCTGCCCAGAGAAGTTGAAAATTATCACCAGAATTCAACGAGAATGATGGGACTTGTAGTTGGTTCGCAGGTACTGCGCCATTTTGTCCTGTTTTTCGACGTACAATTAGACCAAAAGATGTCCGAACTTCAATTGAAAGGTATTGAGCTGTCCAACAAGTAGGAGTTACTTCAGATCACTATTAATACGCTCTAGATGGTGAGGCTAGAACGTTTTCATGAAAGCATGCGCCAAATAGGACTGTCCAAAATTGACAACAAATCCTACCTCGACGAGTTCTTTCACTTTCCTTTCCCAAGTCTCAAGTATGTGCTACCGGCAATAGTTTAGTTTCGCTGTCGACGATCGAACTTGCCCATGGAACCTTATCGACAGCCCACAAAGCTTTATCAGTAACAATGATATTGGGGTTGAACTCAGGCATTAGTTTTTTCACTTGTTCGAATAGCTTCTGCACATCCACGCCGTCATAGTTCCAGACAGTAGAAAGGCTGAAAATTCAACTCGGCATTTCATCCTTAACTCTGAGTCTCACCGAAACTGACTTGCGGGAAGCCCTCTGTCCCTTTTATCGGTAACAACAATGGTCGCTAATTTTAAGTTGTATCATGTCGCGCCGTGTGTATCATCAACAGATATTCCACGAGAGGATACGCCTTCAGCCATTGCAGTTGTAATGAAGTGATACAAACACAAACACAAAATGCAAACAAGGAGTCTGCATTTCTTCGAATCAAGTAAAAGATTATCTCACCCATAATAAATTTTCCCGGGATAAATTTCCTGCGATAGCCGATGTATTAGGCGAATCCCATCATCTAGGTTCTTCTCAGTTTGCTTGCAAGTGCCCAGAGAGTTGAGATAGTTTCGTTCAGCGAAAACCAGGTTCTGGTCCATCAGTTTCGATGATGTTCCACAGGTCCGCTTCACAGGTCGTGCTGTTTCTTGATGAAGTGCTGTCGTAAGTTCTGTTCGCCGAGACGTCTTTCCTGCATTGCCGAATGACATAGTCCGACGAATGCTCTCCATAAAAGCACCTTGGTTGGGGATCCTGATAGGGTCGCTATTGCTTTACCTTCCAACATATTCTTGAGAAACTCCTTTTGTACAGTCGATAGACGTAAAAGTGCAGGTTAAACCTCGTGACCCGCATGGCCAAAGCACGTTTTGACTGTTATCGTGCTGTCCTCATTTGAACGAGTACGCACGTAGCAGGAGCATTGGAGTTTGTTCCTTCCTACTATAGGAGGCGTGGGTGTCGCTTTTACTTGTGAATTTCCCAGCACGATTACATTTGTAGGAAACATTGCCATAACACCTCTCAATCGAGTGAGATGAATACTAACCTATAATAATGATTATTGCGAGTGTTGCTTTCAGAATTAGAAATAACCAGTTCTTCGCGCAACCGTTTCCACTTGAGCCCACCATCTGACATTCGCTACCTACCATTTCTAGCCCTGCACTGAGAAAAGTTCATCAGCAAAACCTTCTTCAGGCCTCTTCTAAACCAGTCAACAGAAAGAACTTTAATCGGTTCTCTCCAAGCGCTAAGCCAAAATTAGATAGTGTCGGAATGTTGTTTCAGTACCTCAAACTCGGCCTCTGAATAGAACGTTCGTACACGGTAAAATCCAGCTCTTCGCCGTCCACAAATTTGTTCTCGCAAAGCGGACAACTGGCATGGGCTATCTCGCTTCTTAAGTTGTCTTCTATGCGGATATTTTCCTTTCACAGACCCGACTTCTTCTTCCGTGAATTTGTGTACAGTTCTTAGATGCGAGTACAAATTTTCGGAGCATTCCTCTTTTACGGGTACAAATTTCTTCGGAGCATTCCTCTTTTACTTATAATGCAGCGATACACCTCGCGTTGTGACGACATCATCTGCAATACATCTCTGACTCAAACAAGCGGAATATGAATTAGTAAGCATGACACCCCATCAACAGAATTTACGGAAATCAGACAGTTTTTGCAGAAACTGCTGGCAAATCAGATTCATCTTGCCCTTATGGAAGCTCGGGCATTGATAGATGACCTGTAGCATTTCCTACATTCGATAAATCCTATTATAGTGAAAGATCTGCACGCGTAGTGAACTTCACCCATCATAAGACTTGCATAGACTATACCTATCCTAGAGCAGTATTGATATGTTGTAAGAAAAACACTTCAAATGTTAACTTTCTAGGAAAAAGGAGTCCCGAAATCAATCGGATTGAGAAAGATAATAATCGCACCTTGGATTCTCGACAGGAATACCACCTCCACAATTTGATCTATAGGACAGGAAGTTTCAAATAAAAGGCAAAGTCCTGTAAAGCGCGTGCGTAGTCCCCGTCGCCAGAATGCGATATAGCAGCAATGTAGAGTAAAGAATGTAAAACTGAAGACGAGGTGATTAAGTGAGTCACCTTGATGTATGCTGTAGTAGTAGAATCGACTATAGCACTGGGAATCAACGGTGTGAGTACGACGAGGAGTAGAACTTCCTGCAATCGTGTCAACAGGAGTACAAGTAACAACACTTGAACCGCAGCGGAAAACGTACCCCACACTATTTCGTAACCCAACACTATGGTAGTAGTATGGTGCGGCGGTCCCGCAACGATTGGACACGAATATATTCCCACTGAGTGGGATGTCGTCTTGGTGAGAGCCACATTCTGCCATTTCGTCGAAACCATTTTGTTAATAATGCGGTGCTTCTAATAATAGAATGAGATATCGAAATCTAGAGTCGATCCTTTGATGATTACCGAGACCTGTGAAGTCTGAAGACGTACTGCGGCTACGAACATATAGAACCGTGGTGTTTGGAAGTGTTGATTGGCATAGTGATCCTTATGGGATCTTGCTGAATAAATAATCAAAGGATAAACTGATGTTTGGTTCACAAAATGTATATGAGCCATTAGCTCTCACCTTTGCCTTTTGACCTTCTATTGTCGCCCACCTACACCCGGAAAAAATGCCGGACGAGTTTTACGGCGCAAGTATTCCACTTCGTTGTAGGACCTTGCGTCCCTTTAACTTCATTTGAATTAGGATAATTAGGATACTTCAATGAGCGGTTTTTGGCACTATTGAACTATTCCAACCCCAATCTGCTGAAATCAGGCCGGTTTTTTACCGACTTTTTTCTACCAGGGCAGATTTGGCTGAAAATTGGCTCGTAGGGGTACGTCGACCTCCTGAACACGAATATAACACCCGCTTCACCCGAAACTGCCTGGCGCCCGCGTCAAAATACTCTAAATCACCAAATTTACTGAAAACTTGTCGCTAGGGGTAGTTTGACCCCTGAACACGAATATCACATCCACTTGAGGCCAAGACCGCCTGGCGCCCGACGCCAAAACACCCTAAACC